TACTTGCACCCATTATCAACAGAATACTTACAGTGAAAATTACAAAGATCGGGTCAGTATAACCTATAGCTCCCATACAACTGATTGTTCAGATATAAAATTTTGCGTTATAACTCCTCCATTTATATAGCTAGGAACATGAAATTCCGCACTGTTTTCAATAATTATCAACAGAAAACTTACAGTGAAAATTAAAAAGATCGGGTAACTATAACCTATAGCTCCCATACAACTGATTGTTCAGATATGAGATTTTTCGTTATAATTCATCCATTTATGTAGCTAGGACCATGAAATTTCGCGCTGTTTCCACTCATTATCAACAGAAGACTTACAGCGAAAATAACAAAGATCGGGTCACTATAACCTGCAGCCCCCATACAACTGATTGTTCAGATATGAGGTCTTTTATCATAACTCCTCCATTTATGCAGCTGGGAACATGAAATTTCGCACCATTTTCACTCATTATTAACAGAATACTTACAGTGAAAATAACAAGGATCGGATGACTACAACATATATCTTCCATTCATCTGATTGTTCAGATATGGGATTTTACTGTAAAACTCATTTATTTGAACAGCTAAAACCGATAAATTTCGTAAGATATTTTATAAATAATAATACAAAGTCTACTGAGAAAATCGTCAAAATCTATGCTGTATAAGCTTTATCTCCTATAGCACTGATTGTTAAGATACCAGTTTTTGCCATATATCTCCTTTATGTACGAAACTAAACCCAATAAATTGTGTTACCGGTTTACATACCGATCACATAGCGGTGAAAATCACTTAGATTGGTGTCATATAAAGTATATCTTCCATAACTCTGATTGTTTAGATGCGATTTTTTATATAAGTATGTAACTCCTCTATCGATGTATGCAGATGTATTCAAAAGCAGTAATCTGTCAAAGTAAAATTTGCAGATGTTCATGAAAGGTATGAAGCCTTCGGCATAGCCGAAGACAGCGCTGCTCTTACTTGTTACCTTTGCCTCTATCCTTTTCTTTATCAATATAATAAAATAGCTTATTTTCAGTGTATCATATTATTAATGCCCACGCTCTCTTCTTTTTCATAAATGTTCGCACACGTATGCATCGTGTAAAGAAATGCCTAACGCTTTGCTTCCACTTATGTACGTCCACTTTAATTTTTCAGTCTTTCAATAACCCTCAAATGAAGACACTTAAAAATAAAAGTCCCTGTCAAAGTGTTTTTGACTAAGGGAAATTTAAGCAGTTGATAAATAAATTACAACACAAAACACAAAAAGATCGCACAGAGTGATTTGGCACGGTGAGAAATACTCTTTGCTTGAGAGATAAGTGTTTGTGTCAGTGGTAAACACCATGCATTATTTTCGATCTCCGGTATTGCTAGTACCTATTTATTTTATTTAAATATTCCAAAGTAATACCAAATTTTCTAAAATATTCGTTCAATCAGTTTGTCAAGTTATCGCATACCAAAGCATATTTGTCTTATTCGCATTTGACATTTGTCGACCAACTAATCACTATGCGAATATGCTGCAAGGTGACAAGTAAGAGTAGATGCATTAACATAAATTACCTTTCATGTGCTGCAGAAAGCCATTGCTTTGTACTTCACATCCAGCAGCAACGCAACAGCAATCCACACCAAAAGCAATTCAATCCAATTCAATCCCTGCGAAGTTCGCTTTACAAATCTTAATGTGTTAACAGCTTTGTCACTCACTTCCCACTGCCATTCGCTACGCCACACCCATGCTTAAAGTATATTTCAGCAGCAGCAGGACGAGTCGTTGCACATTTCCTATGTCATTTCAGCAAGTGCATTGTTTGTATCTGCACTGGCGGATGTAACGACGCCGCCACCACTTGCCACTGTTACAGCCGATGAGGAGGAGGATGACGTTGGTGATGTGGGTGAGAATGTGGTTGCTTGCGCTGTTGCTGCAGGTGTTTGTTGACTTGTTGCAATGACGTCGTCAGCTGTGCAAAATGACTGCGTTGCCGTCGGCGACACAGCTGTGCCAGTGGCGATGGCCATGCCAGATGTGGAGGCATCGGCTGGAGTGCTATTGCTGCAAGGTGATTTTAAGTTTGCTGGTGGTGGCGTATTTGGTGGCAGGGGAGAGTCGCTGATGCTAACGCGTGTTGCTTCCGCCGTTGTGTTGCGTGTTAGAAACCAACAATCCATCGGTGTCGGTTTACCCTTCATCACGACTGGGCCACGGTATTCGAGATTGAATGAATCGTCATGGTTAATCTCCTGGCATAGCAATCTGTAAATGGAAGAGCATAGAGAAATGGATGTAATATAAACAGGTTGCAATGACGGCAACAAATACTGAATTTGAGCGATGTAAATAATTTGATAAGTTGCTGAATAGTGTTGCAATCTAAATGGTACCTAGGAGGGAAAGGAAAGTGTGAATGGCTGGAAAATTAGAAAATAGCAACGTACAATATGTATGTACATAAATTATGCACATATATAGAAGTATAAGTATTCGTAAGCGGATAAGATCTCAGATATTTCTTGGCCGATGTAATGCTAATATGTTCACATATACACATATCGCTTACGTTATGTGAATGTCCAGTAATTTAAAATTTGTAATTTTTGAAATTATGCGCGACAGCATACAGCTGAAGCAAAATTTTGTTGCTCTCGAAGAAGTGTTCCCCCAGAAATTTGATGCGTATTCTCCGTAGTGCGAAAACCAGCTAGTGTCCCGCTGATATTACTGTGCGAAGCCTAACATTTAGCTTGAGAGCCTTAGTAAACTCCGTTGTTCCTCTGATGTTGCTGGCTGAAGAAAGGAATCGCATTTGAGGTTTTACGATCTGAAGTGTTTCTCTTAATCTTATCTGAGTTCCATTTCTAGCACCCTCGTCCGCTTCGAACCCAGTAATAAATAAATAAGTGTATGCCGTCTAATGGCTTGTAAGGATCTACGGAATTCTTGAGCGCATACACTGTTAGTCGTTACTGACCTTAAGGGTTTGATGGCAGTTTGACTGTTTCAAAATATGAACTTAGAATCGTTACAGGCATCCTCAATGGGTCCTGTAGGCAAAAGAGGACCTCGGCAAAAACTGGGTATCTGGGAAACTGACCTCTGTCCTTTTTGTAACGCAACTGTGGAGACACTATTGCACCTAATCCTTGAATGTGATGCCGTATCAAGGCGACGACTAAACAAAATAGTAACAATATAGTCGTCTGGACTTTCTGGAATCAATAGCACTACAAGATGTATTGTGTGGAGTGGAGGTCACAATATACCAACTAGATTGCTATTCGTACCTCTTCTACTTAGTTATCTATCTAGTCATGTTTACCAGCTTTGCCGCCATGTCAATTGCGTATATCTCAGCCTGGAAAAATGTCTTTAGCTAATTTCTGAGACAGTCAGATCCAGTTCTAATGACCATTCTGGAGCCATTCATTAAGTCGCTTCTATCGGGAGAATAAATTCTGAAGTTGCTGTGAAAATTAATTTGTATGACATGATAATCACAGCTTCTGCACTTAACTTAAACTATGTCCTGGATGATAGCGTGACGTCTCTAATGCCACCTTAGGTGTTAAGTAGATTGCTCTCGTTGTACGAGGGATGTTTCCAAGGTTTTGGGAATTCAGCTATACTTTTTAATAATTTGTTATTTTTCGTCAATATTACAATGTAGTTCGTCAACATAATCTCTATTTAACATAATCTCTATTAACAACTTAAAAAATTACAAAAAAAAAAAAAAAAAAAAAATAAATGATATTTAAAAAATATAATTTCCTGCTCTGTTACTCTAACCTTGCATCTCTCGACTAGCACTCCAGTAGTTTACTCTGTCGGCCATTGCGACGGTTTGAGCGCCGTGAGCAAAATTACATACTTATTCTTTTCACGGTAAGTTAATTTTTCCTAAGAAGAAAGAAAATAGTACTGAAAACTAAGGAATTATATTTTCCTTAAACTGAGTCAAATCGTTTACTTATATTAATGCAGCCACACCTCTGCAGTCATTTCAAGGTAATATTTGCTTAGAATAATATACTTTTTCTTAACATCAAGGAATGTTTTTTCTGAGTGTACATATATGTACTTACTAAAATATTCTCCTTTGATTTAGCACCCTAAATATATTTCGGCTTTTCAGGAAATGTGTATTTTTACAATACATTTACAAAGCCTAATGGGAACTGTATAGATATGTTGGCTTACACATGAGTACGCTGCCTACTGACGGCTCTTGAATAGCTCGAAGATTTACGTGCGACCACACACATGCGTTGTGAAATGCATGGAACATGTTCTTGTTGATAAGACGAATTATTCAGCTACACGCTTCGATGGCGTTAACACTTTACAACGTTCATATGTACGTATTTATGTATGCAATGTAACTTCAGATTTTGCTCCAACTAAATTTGGCTACCTTAACTAAAATGTTGTAAATTGTGCCAGTATTGTTTACTGAAAGGAACACAGAAATGCTTTCATTGTTATACAATAGTTAAACTGATACAGTAAACAAATCCTTATCTGCCGTGAGAATGATAGATTGGAATGGTTACTTGAAGCTACCCTGACGGAAACAAGTGATATATACATTTTTTTAAATCAACTAATTGAAAGGCTACTTTAAAACAAATTCAATGAGTAAATGTTTCGAATTTTTATACTCTCTTTGCTCAAACAAACTATTTGTGTCTTGGAAGCATGAAAAAGCATCTGTGAAGTCCAGAACGCAAGTGTATTCAAAAGAAACATACTGACTTTGAAGTTGAGTAAACCAAATTCATTTTAAAGTAGTTGAAATTAAATGCAGAGTCGGACAGTTGACTTGCCACTTGCACAGCATTCAAACTGAACATTTGAAAGCACGTTTACATGTCTGGCTGTAGCTGAGCGTGCAAAAATGTTTGCTGCAATTGGTCGAAGCCAAGGATGTCCATGTTCAAATCTCAATTAATTTTGAATTTTTAATTTCGGTTTTTCTTATTTATAAAAAAGCATCTGCGAAGTGCAGAATGAAAGCATATTCAAACGAAACATACTGACTTTGAAGTTGTTTAAGCCAAATTTATTTTAAAGTAGCTGACAATACATGCAGGAAAAGGCAATGAGTTCGTTGTAGGTAAAATAATGAGAATTTCAATTAGTTATCATTGAAAATAAAGTAGTTTATAAATTACTTTCAAACTAATTCAATTTCCTGCAGGGTATTCAGTAGGGTGTCCATCGATTTTTTTTTTGAAATTTCCTTCCTTTTGATGATAAATATTATTTCCTATTTTTATAGATTTTTCAAAAATCATTTAGAGGTCGCACTTGTTAGACCCGAAAGTATGGTTTTGTAGATTTATCAGTTTTTGATTTGACTAGTTTTCATCCAATTTTATAGATCGAACGTGTTGAGAGAAGAGGAACTATAGGCCTTTAAAATTGTGTATAAGTAATAATATATTGTCAGACTTGGATTGTTGGAATTTTTCATCGGGCAAATAAAAACAAAAAACATTTTTGCTTATTTTTTTAAGTTTTGACCATCACCTAATTCCACAATTCGAAAATATTTATTACTATCTAAAATTAAATCCATACCTAAAATTAAATTTATACCTCATTTATTGTAATCGCATAAAAATTGTCGAAGTTAGGCAAGGTTTATTAAATACGGTCTTGAATTTATATGTGTGTATGTACCGGACTTTCAGATTTTTTTGAGCAGTGTGGCTAAGAAATTCATCAATATTTATTCAAAATTTACGTATAGAATCGCTGTTTTGCAAAAAATGTTTTTTCAAGAAATCGGACAAAAATCACGGGCTACCAACGTAACTCAAAACTAGCTATATTTTTTTGCGGTAGTAGGTTCCGTCCGATTTCAAAAATTTTCTAGATGGTGCTTAAGGCGGCTAAGCAAAATGGGCCTCATGCGTAAAATGTGAGCTTAAGCTCAAACTCGATTTTCAGTAAAAATTCTTGGGCTTGAGCTCACTCAATCAGTGCAAAAACTGAGTTTGAGCTTAAGCTCACTTTTCATGCATGAGGCCCATATATATATACCAAATTGAAATACCACTTTTTTGCTAAAAAGCGATTATATGTATATCTCAATTTTGAATAAATATTGATTAATTTCTTAGCCACTTCTTCTTCCTATTCTTCTTCTTATTTGGCGCTGTAACCGCCTAAGCGATTTTGGCCGAGTTCAATAAAGCACGCCAGTCGTTTCTTTGCTGTGCCAACTGGCGCCAATTGGAAATGCCAAAAGAAGTCAAGTTCTTCTCCACCTGGTCTTTCCATCGCAGTGGTGGCCTCCCTCTTCCTCTGCTACCACCAGCGGATTCCGAGTTGAATACTTTCAGAGCTGGAGCGTCGGTGCCCATTCGAACGACATGGTGGAGCCGCTGTATTTCAATTCGCTGCACTATATCCATATCGTTGTTAAGCTCATACAGCTTATAGTCTGCGGTGCTCGCCGTCGCCAACGCGTAAGGGCCCGTAAATCTTCCGCAAAATCTGACTTTCGAATACACCAAGAGGCGCCTCATCGGATGTTGTAATTTTCAATGAGTGACTTATAGAGTGTGGTTTTCACTTAGTCCAAAGTAGCACTTGTTCAATTTTTTTCTGGCTTATATTCAAATTATGGGTTATATAGATGAAATAAGCTAGAGGATTTTTTTTATTTTTTTCTTTGGAGATATGATCTGTCAAAGTTCGAATTTTTTCGTGGTTCTGACCATTTATGTACTTATTAAAATCGTTATATCTCGGGTTCTACTCATCGTACAGACTTCATTTTAAAGTCGTTTTAAAGATAACTCAACGGGCTTAACATTTCTCTATGACAGTGATTGTCCTTAACTTAGCTATTAACTATTTGGGATTAAAAATTACACCGCCATAATCCTTGCTTAATTCTCTATAATAAACGAGTTCGAAAAAAATGGGAGTATTCAAGAACTATTTTTAAAATATTTTTTTGTGAGAGTCAGCAATAAAGTCTCTACGATGAACAGAGCCCGAGATATAAAATATAACATGTAGCTGTGCTACACGCCTTATTCTCATCTATTTAAATTTGTTTCCATGGGGCCAATTCGCGTTATATGAAATTGTGCAGTGTGAATGAAAAATTTAAATTTAGTGAAAATTTTAAGTTTTAACTTTGTAACTTCATTTTATCGTTTTAATATATTATCGATCATTTAAGGGTTTTCTATAAATATCTGGAAATAAATTTTTCTTATTTTACACAGCCATAACCA